TTTTTATCTTGTCACTGACTTCTAATTTCATTCCATTATGATCTGATAGGATGCAAGGAATCTCTGTTTTTTTGTATTTGCCAAGATTTGCTTTGTGACCTAAAATATGATCTATTTTAAAAAATGTTCCATGCGCTGCTGAGAAGAAAGTAAATTGAGTCATTGTTGGATGAAATATTCTATAGGTGTCTGTGAGGTTCCATTTGATTGATAGTATTTTTTAGTTCTGAAGAATATTTATTTAGTTTATGTCTGGATGATCTATTTAATGGTAAGAGAGGTGTGTTGAAGTCACCCAGTATTCTCATATGGTTATATGATATCATTATATTATCATATAATCATATTTGATTATTACTATTTAGAAGCATTTGTTTTTAGTATGTAGATGCACCATTGTTTTGGTGCATACATATTCATAATCATTATGTCTTGTTTTTTTAAAAAACATATTTTTTAGTTGTAGATGGACACACAGTATCTTTGTTTATTTTTATGTGATGCTGAGGATCAAACCCAGTACCTCACACATGCAAGGCAAACGCTTTACCACTGAGCTTCAGCTACAGCCCATGTCTTGGTTTTTGATGATTCCCTTAACCAGTATGAAGTCACCTTCTTTATCTCTTCTGATTAATTTTGGCTTGAAGTCCACTTTGTCTGATATGAGAATAACTACCCCTTTTCTTTACAAGTACCATTTGCATGGTATAGCTTTTCCCATCCTTTCACCTTCAATTTGAAGATGTCTTTGTCTCTAAGTTGTGTTTCTTGAAAACAATATTTTCTTGGTTCTTGTTTTATCTATGTATGTATGTATGTATGTTTATATGTACGCATTTATTTATTTATTTATTGAGACTGAGGTACTTAACCATTGAGCCACAACCCTAGTCTCTCCACACAAACCACCCGCCTTGTTTTTTTGGAGACAGGATCTCATTAAGTTGCTTAGGACCTCAGTAAATTGCTGAGGCTAGCCTCAAACTTTCAATCCTCCTGAGTCAGCCTCTCTAGTCACCGAGCTTGTAGGTGTGCACCACTGTGCCTGGCTGGGTCTTTTTTTTTTTTTTAACCCAATCTGCCAATCTATGTCTTTTAATTGAAAAGTTTTGGTCAGGTACATTCAATGTTATTATAGAGAGGTGATTTTTATCTCCTGCCATTTTGATTTATTTCTAATTTTTTTTGTTTTCTTTTAAATATTTTTTAGTTGTAGTTGGACACAATATCTTTATTTTATTTATTTTTATGTGGTGCTGAGGATGGAACCCAGGGCCTCACACGTGCCAGGTAAGTACCGTACTGCTGAGCCACAACCCCAGCCTCTATTTTTAATGTTTAATTCAGACTTGATTCTACTTTTTTTTTTTTTGGTATTTTAGATTAAACTCAGGGGCGCTCAACTACTGAGCCACATCCCTAGCTCTTTTTTTTTTTTATTGTTGGTCTTTCAAAACATTACATAGTTCTTAATACATCATATTTCCTAGCTCTTTTTATATTTTTATTTAGAGACAGGGTCTCACTGAGTTGTTTAGGACCTAAATTGCTGAGGCTGGCTTTGAACTTGAGATCTTCCTGCCTCAGCCTCCCGAGTCCCTGGGATTACAGGTGTGCACCACCATGTGCAGCTTGATTCTACTTTAAAAAAAATTTCCACTGGTTTATTTTTCCAAATGAGCAAAAGGCTATTTACAAATAAGCAGATCTTCAATCACGTATATTAAAATGGCAAGCCTACTAAATGTTTGAAATATAAATGAAAAAAATGACTAAGGCACATTTGATCTATGAGTTAAAAACAAACATTCTGGTTTAATGATGAAGTCATTTCACTTTTGTCCCTAAAACACATGAGCACTAAAATTGTCCAAGAACACTTAATATTTAGTACAATAGGAATGTAAAAATTAAGGAGGGAAAAAAGTGTCTTCAAAAGGAAATCTTTGGAGATTGGATTACTGCAAATAAAACATATCAACTACACTCCTGGTACACATAAATATTGATATTAACAGGCAGTGATGAAATGGCAGAGCTCTAAACAATTGATATTAAATAAATTAAAGGTATTCATATGCCTTGATTCTCCTTTAATTGAGTATTATTCCAGTTAATTCATCCCTATATTGGTTTTCATTTTTATTTTTCATGAAATATTGAGTTTGTTTTGTTGGTCAGCCTTTGTGGTTATGAATTCTTTTAGTTTCTATTTATCCTGGAAGGTTTTTATTTCATATTTAATTCTAAAGGATAATTTTGCCAGGCATAGTAATCTTGGCTGGCACCCATTTTCTTTCAAAGCTTGATATATTCCAAGCCCTCCTGGCTTCTAGGGTCTGGGTTGAGAAATCAGTTGAAATTCAAACTGGTTTACTTGTACATATGACCAGTCATTTTTCTCTTGCAGCTTTTAAAATTCTGTCTTTATTCTGTATATTAGGAATTTTTATTATAATGTTTCTTAAAGTAGATCTATTATGATATGTCTTTTTGGAGTTTTATATGTCTTGAATTTCCATCTCATTACTAAGATTTGGAAAATGTTCTAATATTTTATCATTGAAAATATTGTGCATATCTTTCGTTTGTATTTCAGAGCCTCTTGTACCCTAATGATTCTTAAATTTGGTCTCTTGATGTTATCCCAGATTTTTTTTTAATATTCTGGTCATGATCTTTTTTTGTGGTCAGCTTTATTTTCAAGATTATGTGCTTTCTCTTCGAGGCCTGAAAAATCTATCTTCAAAGTGGTCTAATCTTTCTGTTGAATTTTTAGTTTGGTTTATTGAGTCTTTCATTTTTGGGATTTCTGTTTGATTATTTTTTAGGATTTCTATCTCTTCATTGGAATGATTCACTTCCTATATTTTCTATTCTTACCTCTTCTTTTAGCCACAGATTATTTTGTGAACTTCTCTCTCTTAGAAACCCTGGTTTGGGTGACTATCCAAGTATTGATACTTTAACTCAATTGTGGCCTCTGCTGATCTCAGTACCAGCACCACTTTGAGAGAAGTCACTGAACCCTACTTACCTCAATCACTTTAGAGCCAAAGCACACATTATATAACCTATGAAAAAAAAAACTTGTTGATAGTGTTCTCCACAGTTCCTCTAATCCAGGTATAAACTTGAGGAAAGTTCTGGAACAAGTTGAAAAATTAGTTATGTCTAGTTGTTAAGTATAATAAAATTTCTATAACATTATATGAAGGCTGAAAGGGGGAAGAAGAAAGATTAGGCAAGAAAGAAAAAAGAGGGGAGGAAAGAAAAGATAGGAAATCACAATAAAAACAAAGATTAAAATAAATATTAAAAACAAAGGAGAAAGAGGTGGGTGGGGGTATTTCAGGTAGCAACAGATGGTAAGAAGAGGGAGAATAGTGAGCAAGAGAAGGAAGTATAAATTTGAACTAGGAAAATAAAGAAATAGAGAATGATTCCAATTAATGTTTTAAACCATAAGGAGAAATACATTGAAATGGGTTGAAGGTACAATGTTGGCTATTAGGGTAACAATTATCAATCAAGATAAAGAGTGATATATATGCTCAAATTTGGCATTGGAGTTATTTACAGTAAACCATGTCAAGGCAAAGAAAATTCTTGTTGAACCTTGGTGTGAATTTCATTAGGATTTCAGACATTTAGAAGATGTCCATCATTCTTTGACTTAGGATCCCTCCAATGGTTCTGGGGCACAGGAGCCACTCCCCTAGTTGCTATGGACATCCCACCAGTGTGTTCTGGTTTATCAGGGACTTGCTGCTGATTGCTCAGAGGGTACAGAGGATATGATGCTATGTCTGTTGGTTGTTTCTATTGTGTGCAGGAGTTTGGGAGTCAGGACTCCAGGCTGTCCCTCTGATTGCTGTGGGTCACTGTGTATCCACACCCCTTTACAGGATCTTTTTCATGGTAAGGTAGAGCCTAGTGGCTCTCTGCAAGCACAGGCCCTAGGGTTGTGGATTTTCTGCAGGTGATCTGTGGTGCAGAAATATTCCCCCTGGCTAACACAGCTCACTGATGATGGATTCTTCTGTCTCAGCCACCTGTGCACTACAGCCTCTGAAGAGGTGACCTCCAACAAGACTGAAAAGCACCAGCTAGCTTTTGACGCAGCCAAGAGATGCAGTAAACTTGAGATGGTTGAGGCTGCTACCTGTGAAACATGGCATGCTGCTTTACAGCAAACTTCTTCTAAGTAGAAGGAGTATACGCTAAAATAATGTTAAAAAATAGAGTATGGAAAATAGACAAACCAATAACATGGTTGTTTATTATCATATCAAGTATTATGTACAGCACATAATTGCATGGGCTATACTTTAGCATGACTGGGAATGCAGTAGGTGTGTTTATACCAACAGCATCACAATACATAATACTTTATATGATAATGGATGACTAAGTTACCAGTTTATGTATTTACTGTACTATACTTTTTATCATTGTTTTAGAATATATTCCTTCTACTTATAAAAAAATGACTGTAAAATAGTTCGTTGTGTTATACCAGCAGTAGCTCATCCATTTCTTGTTTACCATGTCTCTTGATTTCTTCAACAGGCCATTTTGAGTGATTGACCTATGCCAATCAGGTTTAAGTACACTCTGTGATGTTTATACAATGATGAAATCTCCTAATGACGCATTTCTCAAACCATATCCCCACCATTAATCGATGCATGATCTTAGGCTAGTTCCCTCCCCACAAAGTATTAAAACCATTGTTCAGGTCCCCATTTGAGTGGTTCTCAAAGAGGTTTGAGTAATTTTGTCTGATACCCCAATGGCTCAGCCAGTCAGAGATCAGGGAAGCAAGAATATACCTGGGAAAAGAAATCCCTTGGAAATTTCCTTGTAGGCCTAGCTAGGTCATGGAAAAAAAGATGCATAGAACCAAAAATCAACTCCAAAGTTGGGGGTCTTGTATTCCTACAACCATGGCTAGGCTGTTCCCTAACCCCCCACTTTGCCTGCCCCCTCACCAGGTGATGCTCCCTAATTTCCTGGGTGAGCAAGTATCTCCCAAGACACTGGAAGACACAGTGGCTGAATTGGATGTGACCCTGCAGTTGCTCCAGGACAAATTCCTCCAGAACAAGGACTTTATTGTCGGACCCCACATCTCCCTGGCTGATCTGGTAGCCATCACTGAACTCATGCATGTGAGTGCCGTGGGTAGTGTGGGCCCACTAGATGGAGGTGCTGAAGTCCTATTTATGCTGTCCTGGCTGCGAAATTATGCTTGTGCATGGAAACCCCTGCTGGAGTACTGGGGTCCACAGACCAGACAATGAGGTAGGTCCTCAGCTTTACCTCACTCTATTGTCTTCTTCTTACAGCCCGTGGGTGCTGGCTGCCAGGTCTTCCAAAGCCGACCTAAGCTGGCTGCATGGCGCCAGCGAATAGAGGCTGCAGTGGGAAAGGACCTCTTCCAGGAAGCTCATGAGGTCATCCTGAAGGTCAAGAACACTCCCCCTGCAGACCCCACTATAAAGCAGAAGCTGATGCCTGGAGTGCTAGCCATGATCCAGTGAGCTTGGAGCCCCCCCCGGGCCCCGGCACTATGAACACGTTCACAAAGCACCTTCATTTCCAGTGTGCTGTGGAAAGCAAGCCCAGAGAGCAAGAGTTACTTGCCCTGATCCCACTGCCAAGGTTCCATCACAGTCATGATAAGGACACAAACCCAGACCTTTAATCACTGCATTTTATTTTTGAAGTTTAGAGAATAAACCTAGGTTCAGACTWATTTTGTTTCTAGCTCTGTATAATTTATTCCCTTCCTCTGTCCTTGATCCTGGTCTTGGTCTCTATCTGAAAGACAACCCCCTTTCCCAGTGAGGGTTGGCTTCCTCCTGCCGGTTGCTAAAAATTAAGTCACAAATGCCCCGTAGCCTTCTAGTTCCTGGGGAATGATTTGTCATACAGCCTAGGGGTCTGTAGGCATCTCATGTGTTATTGACAGGCATGTTTACTGATCTATCAATTGGACTGGCCAGTCTCCCAGGACATGGCCCTTTGGCATGTAGTATTGTTAATCACCAGTCCTGCATCTGTCCTGAGGAATTGGTCAGGAGGAGAAAATTCATGAGTTCAGGCCTACAGGGGCTTAAATGCAATGCTTAGGCACTTAGATACAAACTGTAAACAGGAACAAAAGTCTCAGATTGCATTTTAGAATAATATTCTGGTTGCCAGTGGGATTTGGATTGGAGGACAGCCAAGGAGGAAGCAGGGAGATTGGATAATTAGGGCCAAAGGTGATTTGTGAAGAATTGGCAAGCAGTGAGAGGCAGAGAAGAGTGGAGAACTGGCTCCTTTCAGTTTGGAGAGGGCTGCAGCACTAATATCTTAAGAAGACTTTCCTGGTTCCTGGGGGGGGGTATTGAGATAAGGGAGAAATAAATGTTTCTTAAATGGGGACTATTTGGAACCAGGAAGACAAAGATCTTCTTAAGCTTCCCAATAACTTATCCTCTTGCCAAGAGACATTCTCCTAATCTTGGATTTGGGATCGAGGTCTTCACATCTTGGAAGGCTCTCAAGGGAAATGGTAGTGCCATAATCATAGGACTTAGGAGCTCCAGAACTGCAGTTGGAACCGAGCATGGTAGTGCACACCTGTAACTTCAGCTACCTAGGAGGCTGAGGCCGTTTGGTCTCAAGTTTAAATCAGACTGAGCAGCACAGAGCCTGTCTCAAAATTTTAAAATAAGAAAAAAGGGCTGGGGATGTAGCTCAGCGGAGGGAACCATGGTTTAGCATGGGTGAGGACTCAGATTCAATTCCCAGTACCAAGTCCAAAACCAAGACAAAACAAAAACATGCAATTGGAGGAACTTGGCCTTGCAAAAGGGATGGGGAAGTTCTGTACAATCCCAGGCACACCTGCTGACCTCTGGTTAGGCTTCACAGGGCTCTAGCTTCTTGGGGAGAGATTAGCGAAGTGTAATGAATAACACATTCCTTCACGAAGTGTAGGGCTGGCCTCAGTAGAGAGCAAACAGCGCCCCCGCCCCCATTCTCCCCAGTCTCCATCCTGAGAGCTAGGTCCAGGCATGGGAGGAGAGGCTGTTGCACATCCGTTCTTTCTCTTTTTGGACCCCAAGCCACTCCTCTCTCAGGAGGGTGGAGGGAGGAGGCTTGGGCTGACAGCAGACAGCACAATCTTTCCATCCTAAATTCACTGAGGGTCTGTGTTGGAAGTGTCCAAGGTAAGTCTATGATCACCTCTCTCTCTGCTCCGTCTGACAAAGATGGATTTTGAGTCCAGGGGTGGTATCTGACCTGGCAGCGAGACCCGAGGTGGTCAGTACCTGGACCCGCCTGTCTGAGCCCTCTCCAACTGGGAAGAAATCCTTCAGCCCAAATTCTCTGAGGGGGCGTGGAGGAGCAAGACAGTGGGGACGCCACTGATTGGCCCTAAGTTTCTTGAGCCATCCAATGAGCGGGGAGGGCGTGGTCGGGCCAGGTTCCCAGTTGGTTGAGCTCTATGGAGTAGGTGTTCAGCCATTCCTGCCCAAAGTTCCGGTTGCAGCTCCTGTCTTGGCCTCCTGGCCAGACCCGTAGATCTACACGCCGCTTCCCCAGCCGACCCACTGCAGACCTCGCCATGGTCCTGGAACTCTATCTGGACCTGATGTCCCAGCCCTGCCGCGCTGTCTACATCTTCGCCAAGAAGAACGGCATCCCCTTCCAGCTGCGCACCGTGGAGCTGCTCAAAGGTGGGCTGGGTAGGCAGGCTGGGGAGTATGGGCGGGGTGTGCAGGCGGTCCTCTCCCTGTAGGCGTCGCTTCGTGGTCCAGTGTACAAACTAGAGGGAAGCCCATCCTCTCCAGTGTGGAAGCCTTTGCATCAGTTGTCAGTTGTGTATTTTTAAGAACCCTAATCTTTGCTTCGTGAATACAAGACATTCTTCAAAACATAGAATAAAAGGGAGAAGGCAGTCCTTGGATAGAAGAGGCAAGTGGAGAAAGGGCCAGACTATCCTCACCTCTAGGATTGGAGAAAAAGATCGAAATACCTCTTCATTTCCAAGATGAAGTTGTCCCCAACTGTTGCGTTTCTGCATCCTCCGGCAGGAGATGGCCCCCACTTGGAGGTCTTCTCTTCACTCCTATCTACTCCATCTAGTTTTCTTCTACTTTCATGTCTTCCTTGCCATTCTTCGGCTTTTTTTTTTTTTCCTTGCTAATGACTTGCTCCTGTCCCTGGTGGTTTCCACCCACTGGCAGGGCTCTTAGGGCTCTGAAGAGCCCTGTGGCAGGGCAGTAGGGAAGACCAGCACTCTTACCTTAGAAGCAGTGTTGCTAGTCTGACTGACCTGGAAAAACAGCTGCAGCAGAATCTAGTAAAGGAGGCAAGAGGTAACCAGCCCAGATGAAGGTCCCTGCTCAGCTGAGCCCTCCCATTGGCCCAGCGTGAGCCAACTGCTTTGGGACATAGTGTGGGTACAGGTAGTTTCTGGAGGTAGAGTGGGCAGGGAAATGGTGTCCATTCAGTGTAAGGAAAAAGACGCCCATAGGTAAGTCTATGATCAGCTGAAGGCTGGCTTGGTGGAGGCCCCCTGACTCCATACATACTAATTGGGCACTTAGTGTACCCTCCAGCATTAGGCTGGGCTTGGATATAGGGTCTGTGGAAGTGATTCAGACTTGGGAGCCCATTTTTTAAAATATTTTTTTATTGTAGATGGACACAATACCTTTATTTAGCTTATTTATTTTTATATGGTTCTGAGGATCGAACCCAGGCATACATATGAGGCAAGCATTCTACCACTGAGCTACAACCCCAGCTTGGGAACCCATCTTGAGAAGGGAGTTTTGAGGGTTTGGCACAGGAAAGAAAGAAGTGCTGAGCTGTTAAAGGCTAAGTGGCTGAATGGGGTCTGTGTTCCTGGATGGACAGATGGGAATAAGAGTGGCTGAAGCTCTGGGATTGTGAACAGGTCACCCAGCCTGGTTTGAAGGGCTTGATCCCCCTCCTTTCCCCCAGGGTAGGAAGAGAAATCAGAAGGGAAAAAGTAGAGCTCAGAGAGGGGACTAGAGTGCCTGACATGGATGGAGCTGGCTGAGGTGTCAGATGGATTATGCTTCTAGAGTATCACCCTCTCCTCGGGCCCAAGTTGAAATTCTGCTTCGCACAGGCTCCATTTGTGTGGGCACAGGGAAGGTGAAGTGATATATGATCCAGAGACAAGCACAGTGTTCACCTCTTCCTGTATGCTCCCAAAAGCTGGTACCTGAATTTAGAGGTGGGGGCAGCCAGAGACTTCAGAAGACTTGGAGTTCTCCACATTTACCTCACTGATCTCTCCTGCAGGTCAGCACTACACTGATTCCTTTGGTCAGGTGAACCCCCTGAGGAAGGTGCCAGCCCTAAAGGATGGGGACTTCACATTGGCTGAAAGGTAATGGATCCCTGGCCTGTGGCCAAGCCTGTGGGGCCACTCAGCCAAGCCTGTCTATGTTCACTGTTAATGGCTGGGACCACAGCTTGTGTGTCCCAAATTCCCGTGGAGCTGCAGGGTATAGTGTGGGCAGAAGCAGACAGAGGTGTCCAGGGCTAGGAGGGGCTGTTGAACTTACGGAACACCTGTTTGCCCCTGTATGGTACAGATAAGAAAACAGGATGGGAGAGGGCAGGGATTTCCACAAGGTTGTAGGCCAAGACTGCTTTCAGGCCTCTTCCCTGCTAATCCATGCCTTAGAAAGAAGGAGAATGCTAAATGTGGAATAGTGGCAGCACTGGGTATCTCAAAGCAATCACTGCTTCCTTATATCCTCGGGTGAGTGATATTTCCCTGGGAGATTAAGGAAACACCCAGTGAGCTCAGTGGCTATTTACCAAGCACCCAACCGCATCGGGAACCATCCAGGCCCTGGCCTTGAACAGAGGACATGTCTAAGCCCTGTGGTGCTCACATTCTAGAGGAAACTGACAATCATGACATAAACAAGTGGGGGTTCTGTGGAGGAAATAAGTGAAGGTGCAGTTTTGAGTGGGTGGTCAAGGGAAGAACTGCTGAGGGGGTGGCATTTGAGCAGGAACTTGTAGCCTCAGATGCAAGGTATGTAGAGAGAGTGTTCTGGTTGGAGGGAAGAACAAGGGAGAAAGTCATTAGGTGGGACCTTGTTTGGGGTGCAGGCTAAACAGCAGGGATTCGATATGGCTGTGGTGAGAAGGCAGAGCAGGAAAGGGGAGGGCAGGGGAGGGAAAACTTGGGCTTTTCCCGTAGGTGAGTGGGACCATTGGAGGGTTTGAGCAGGGGTGTGCCACGACCTGCTCTATTAATTTAGAAACTGGTGAGGGACTTTGGTTGAGGGATTAAGAAAAACACACAACATTTAGACAGAAAAGCGGGGTCAGGTGGAAAACTGAACTCTGAACTCTGACTGAGAACAGTGACCTAGAGCTGGCCTCACATTTTTTTTTTTTTTTTTGGTACTAGGGATTGAACTCAGGGGCATTTGACCACTGAGCCACATCCCCAGCCGTATTTCATATTTTATTTAGAGACAAGGTCTCACTGAGTTGCTTAGTATCTCGCTTTTGCTGAGGCTGGATTTGAACTTGCCTCCTCCTGCCTAAGCCTCCTGAGCCACTGGGCTTACAGGTGGTAACTCTGTACTTTTGTACAGAGGAATGTTAACCCTGTACAGGGGAATCCCAGTGCAAGTGCACCACAACCATGAG